CCGGGCTTGTCAGGGCAGGAAACACCCAGGGAGGGGTCACTCCGCCGGCAGATGGCAACCATGAGAGTAAACACAGACTCTACAAATGGAGGGTCGTTAAGTCTGGTTGTGTTAATTTGGCATGACACCCTAATGGGTCATGTCTTCACACTTGAGTTGTCTAACCATCTAAATTCTTTTAACAAATTTACATTTCATCCTATACACTCCCATTCAAATCGACCTGTCTATTTCGCCACAAAAGCCACAGGTCTTGTTTGTTTGCTTCCTCTGGATGTTACTGGGTCATCGGGAAAGTCATGACGTATTTTTCTATGTTTTTCAATGCAAAAATGTGTCATGACTTTCCTGACAACCCAACAGATGTCCCGTGTGTGGCATGGGTGTCACAGAGGCAGCCCTAACATGGGCCCACACCCCTCTTCCCTGGAGGGCCACAGTCCTGGGGTACAAGTGTGGCTTTTTAGAGGATTTTTTTAAAAAAGAAACTTCCAGACAGGAAAGACCTGACGCAGGTGGATCTGCACATCCTGAAGCTGACGTCGCTCCGTCAGAGTAAGAGTCCTAGACCAGACGCGGGTCTGTGACTCCATACACTATGAGGAGGGACGCCGCCTTACTTGGACACCCCCTTACTTGTGACACCCCCAAGAAATGGTGACTGGGGAGCAGGGGAGCCTGGAGAACGTGTGGCTGCACCCCACACCAAGAGGCAGAGGCGTCCTGCCTCAGCGCCCTCCCACCCCACACGGCAGGCCCACCAGCCCCCTCCCGAGGGCAGGACCCCTCACTTGCTCTGCTCTGGGGACACCTGTCCCAGCCCCGCACTCACTCCCGAGGGCTAGACCGTTAGTTCCCCAGCGGGGAGGTCAGCACAGGCCTGTGTGCCAAGCTAAAGGCCCTCCGAGGTCCTGCCGTGTGGACAGCCTGGTTGTACCCACAGGAAGTGGCCGTAGGGCCTGCCCAGCAAGGGTGACAAGAGTCACTGCAGGGCGGCCTCGGGGAGGACCCAGGGCACAGGAGGAGGATTACACGACCACAGACTCTGGATGTGAGGTCACAGGCGAGGGCAGTGTCCTCCGCAGGCCCCTCCTTCCAGCACCCCCACCTGCCACTCACCGTCCTCGGGCCACAGGTAGTCGGGGACGCAGGCCTCATACCCCTCCTTCTCCGGAACCTCCACAAAGCCTTCGTCATCGTCATCGTCCTCGTCGTCCTCGTCCTGGGCGCCTAGGGCTGCTGTCTGTGGAGACACCCCCAGATCTGTGTGTGGATGGACACAGCAGGCTGAGGTCGAGGCTCAGCCCCTCTGTGGCGTGCTCTGTTCAGGCCGGGGTCAAGTGTCAGCCGGGATGGAAACACTGAATGGTCTCCCAGCCTCTTCCCATCGGTCCCCCAATCACGCAGCTCTGCAGTGCCCTCCCTCTGCGTCCCTGGGGTGGGTGAACCTGCCCAGCTGCTCAGTGACCAACACGTGTGGAACGGGCATGGCTTCAGTCTCACAGCAGATGAGACGGCAGATTTCACCCCTCAAGAGGCAAGGCCTTTTGGGGTGAGGTGACAGCTCCTCCCTTCCAGGCTGAGCCGCAGGCACCATCCAGCTTAAGCTGGGCCAAAGCACCATGCTCTGTTCTTGAGCCAGCTCCCCACTCAGGCCTCTGGCGGTGCTGATATGACCACTGCACTTCTGGAATATTCTGTCCTTAACAGTGATGTTAAAAAGCCACCAAAGAATTTCCTCTGGACGAGGTGACCTCCCCCACCCAGGTGAGTGTGGTGGGGTCACTGATGCTGTGCTGGAGGTCGGGGGGGGGCAATCCAGAGCCACCCGAGGAGCCGGGGGCACCTTGGAACCACACGGAAAACTAGAGCCGCTGCCCCCTTGTCCAACGCCATCCTCCTGGGCAGCACTGGCTGAGTGAGAGCAGCAGGGCCTCTACTTACGGAGGATTCATCTCATGAGGGTCAAGACTCCGCCTACAGGAGGGGGGCTTCCCTACTGGGTGACCGATGGCCACGCACACATCCCCACAGCGAGGACCAGGCGCCACGGTCAGCCCTGCTCAGAAAATCCTCCAGGGTCTGCTCAGCCTTCACCTTTCCCTCATTCCATGTTCTCAGTGACCCCACACACACACCCAGGACAGAGTGGGAAGCGAACCCCAAGGGGATCTGTCCTTCCTGAGATGGTCACAGCGGGAAGGCATCCCAAAGCCCCCTGCCCACTGCCAAACCGCCAGAGAACAGCAGGGGGCTGGCTCAGCCCAACCAGGGCACAGTTTCTTGCCTCCAGCCCTCTCAGGCCAGAAGGGGGCGCTGCCCCCACAGTGGCAATGCCTGCACTGCTGCCACTGCCAACCGCCCACAGAAGGAAAGGCCCAGAAGGGAGACCCTGTCACACAAACACTAGGATTGGGGCATGGTAAGGTTGTCACAGGCAAACTTTGAAAACAGAACCATCTGACACAGGCCCTCGCTTCTGAAATCATTCTTGACAGCAACGCCCCGGAGGGACACAACTGCAGCTGCGACCCCGAGGCCCAGCCCGCTGACCACAGGGAGGGCGGCCACATGCTCAACCCACACCAGCCCAGCCACCAGGCCAACGGCGCACCTCAGCTGCCCACCACCGCAGAGCAGTCCCGCGGCCCTGCGCCCAAGGTGGTGAGACCGCATCAGGAGGTACCTGCGGGATGCCTCTGGCCCGCTCACCCGCCCGCCCGCCTGCGGAGGAGCCCACAGCCAGGGAGGCATAATCAGATGCTAATGCACTCTGTTTAGGTACAACCCACCGCCTTGCCTCCGAAGGCGTGGGGGACATTAATCACGGGAAACTGTAATTTTTGTTATCAGTCTAACACTGATCAAAAGGGAAGCCTGTCTCCACCGCTGACCTGTGAAACGTCCCAATTATACTCTTTGGAAATGACAGGGGCACTTAACTCCCGGGCTGAGCAAATGACGACAATCAATCACGTTTGAATAACAATGAGCCACGGACCTGAAAATTATTTTTGTATAGAATCTACCCAAGAATTTATGAAAGGTGGAAAGCAGCCCAAGGTTTTAGGGCATTACGGCTCCTGGCCTGTGCAGTGCGTATCAAACACTAAACAGAATTTATGTGTTTTAATTTTCTAAAAGGTAGATGTGGACTGGGGCTACAATGCATAACACACAGTGCCAGAGTTTAAATATGGGGGTCATTTTCATAAAGTATTATGCTTATTGCTCCCACTACTGAATTTCACCAGGGACTTTTATTAAATTTCCATTTCCTAAAAAATATCTAGCTGCTTAGCTAACTATTAGGAATTATGCCTCTTTCTCCCCAACCAAAAGTGTTTATTCCTGTGATTAAACGTGGAGCCCTGGCCCCTTTGTTCTTAAATCAGCACAGGCAGAGCTGGCCGGGCAGCACCCGCGTCCAGGACACACATCCTCTGTAAACACCGGGTGGGGGCCCTCCGAGTCTGTAAGAGCTGCCCTCCTTAGGGTCCCCACGGCCAGGCATCCAGCCAGAACTCTGCTGCCAAGGACCAGGGCTCTCTGGCGAGCACTCCCACATGCGAACGAGGACTGTGTGGCCCCTGGGTACCCACTCACAGCAGCACAGAGCCAGACCTCAGCACCGACACTGAACTCAGGCTCCAACACTCCCACTGCCATGTCAGATCCCAGGGCACAGAAACCCGCGCCGGGCTCCACGCAGACTGCACGTCAGGGAAGGGCAGTGACGGCGGACATCCAGAGGCAGAGAAAGCTCTACATCACGGAGCTGTGACAGCTGTATGACCTGCTCACAGGGCTCACATCCAGCGCCAGTTCAGGGAAAAGCACCACCAGCCTCCAGGTGGGACAGTCCCCTCTGAGACATCAGAAATGTGCACGGCTGGGAAACAGGCCGCACCTGCGCTCCTCAGGGGCCTGTCCTGCGGTTCCAGGCACCAGCAATGACAACTTCCCTTCAAGGCCAAAGGTCACAGGTGGGGTCAGAAGTCAGCAAGGAGCCAGGCAGGGGAAGCACTGGGGTGAGAGGGGGCAGAGCAGGGGTGCAGGGACACCCAAGGATCCTGGGGAGGAGATTATGCCCTAGGGGCGTCAGCTGGAGGAAGGCCATCTTCAAAATGGGTGCGACTTATAAACTGGTCTCCAACAGTTTGCTGGCACTGGAGTTTCCTGCTGGCAATGAAACCAGACCTGGTCCCTCGTCTGGGGGACATGAGGTCAGGCCAGGCTGTCCCCCCCCCCGGGGCACGTGTCCACCTCCACGAACAGGTGAAGGCCTGGGCAGGTGGTCAGCGCCCTGCAGCCAATCAGACTCCTCCTGCGCTTTGGGAGCCTGCAGGCCCCTGGACCGCAGGCTGCCCGGGCGGAGACACAGGGCGGCCTCAGCCTTCTGCTCGTTTTCTACAAGCTGATTCTCACCCAGTTAAAAGGATTTAGAAAAATGAGCCTCCGCGATCATAATTAAACAAGCAATAAAGCGGCTGAAATATACAACGCAATCAGTTTACAGGAGTAGGGAAGCAAGGCACTAATTATTTGAGAAGGGACAGGCAGCGCGACCTCGCCCGGGAGCAGCATGCCCGCCACCACGTGCCCGAGATACAGCTGGGACCGTTAAATAAATTTTGTACGATCTAATTAACTTGGTGCGCAATCTCAATTACTTTTCACCTAAGAAATCACTTTTGTTCAGTTTATGTGTGTGTTTCCCTTTAAAAAAAAAATGATGTAAGGCCTCGTCAGACAAGCGAGCTCCCACCTGCATTTGTCTCTCAGCGCTTGATGGCTATGCATTTAAAACCCCATTCTATCTTATAAACTAAAAATTAAACGTGCTCAGCTGTGATGGTCGTCATCGAGGCTGCTATTTATATGCTAATGCCCTCCCTGAAGGCCCCGCAAATTGCCCACTGGCTGGTATCTCATGTGCATCTCCGGCTGCTGGGACACACCTTTAGAGGGCAGAGGACGAAAGCGAGGCGTGGGCTGGCCACGGGATGCACGCAGACCCTCAGGCAAGGACAAGCCTCGCAGCCAAGCAAAGCCTGCCTGGGTGCCACTGAGGCCCGGAGCACGAGTGCCCTCCTGAACCTCCTGACCGAGAACCTGAGAATGTGGCCCCACGAGCCGCCATGCCCTCGCCGGGCTGTCACCTCCCGCTCTCATCCGACTGAACAGCACAGCACGGAGGCTTTGAACAGGCCTCACGGGGGAGCTGCTCCAGTGCTCCTGTCAGTCTGCTGGGGGTGGGGGGAGGCCGCCACCACCACAGGTCAACGGGACACCTGCAGGTCCACTTCCAGGGGGAGGCTGCGGTCAAGAGCTCTGCTGGGTCTGGGCGGGCAGCCGGGCGGCCAGGTAAGGGCACATCTGTCAACCTGGGCAGGATGTCGGCCTAAGAGACGCAGGCCGGGCGCCGGGGTCTGTGCTGCGTGCGGTCCAGATGGACAGCCCTGTCCTCCCGGTGACCACACGGGGCCAGTGCTGGTCTCAGCGGCTGGTGTGAGGGGCGCAGCCGCACCCTCACTGAGGCTCCCCGCATTTCTCATAGGCCGACATCACACCCCATGGGGCACAACTGCTTCTTGGCTGGAACAGCGGCTGCTCCAAGTGTGGGCAGGAAGCTCGGGCCAGTGGTTCCCATGTGCTCTCCAGTCCAGCCCCCTGGGTGCTCCGCAGGCAGGACTCTGCCAGGTTGCTGCGGGTGGCCCCCTCCTTGGGCAGATCGGCCATGGGAGGCCAGGGCTCACACAACTGCCCCAGACTCAGTCTCTTCATCTGTAAGGTGGGGATCACAGCATCACCCACTCAAGGGGCTGCTTTTGGAATTAGAGGGACGACACGTGTGGGTGAGAAGGCCCGGCAACGCAGGTGTTCGCACAGCAGGGCAGGGAGAGGCCGGGCCTGAGATGCTCTGCCAGGCCTCGCGGGATCCGTGTGCAGACCCCTCCCCTGCTCTCAGCCCCACCACGCAGCAGCGGCGTGGCCTTCAGTGTGATGGAGGGGGCCGTGTCACCAGGAAGGTTGTTTACTAGCCCTGCCGAGTACAAGGTCCCCACATCGCTGATTTAGTTTCCCTGCCTCCCTGGGGTGCCTGACGCATCCAACATTTCATTCCCTGGGTCTCTGGCTCTGTCCTTTTCGCCTACAGGAACCCAGCGCTCACGCTCCAGCTCAGAGCAGTCACAGCTTCGTTGTAGGGTGGCGGGTGGGCCCCTAGCGAGGAAAGCCGGTCAAGAGGCAGCAGGCGGCCCACGCATTCAGAAAAGCTCAGGTAGGGTGGAGGGGGTGAGCGGGGAGGGGTCGCTGTTAAGAGCATGGGGCTGCCGCACCAGGCCGGTGACAGGCGAGGACAACAGCAGCTGTGGCGCTCGGCCGCTCAAACACGTCCCCCACACCTACCACACCCCTGCTGCTGACAGTTTAGACAGACGGATGCTTAAAATTATTTTTTTCTGACTTAGTAGTTGGTGGGGAATTACTATTGTTAATTACACAACACAAAATAATTGGTGCTCTTAGCTACCTAATTAAATGGCAGGCAATTTAGAAGTTTCCAAAGGATTTTTATCAGTGTAACGGATGTAGCAGCTGAGGACTATCACCCCTCGCCGAGAACAGCAAGGCTGGAGCTAAATCTACCCAGTGACGCTCACTATTGATCTGGTTAAGATTTATCCCAGCCGGCTTCCAGACGGAACCGAGACAGAGACACTCTATAAAACAAACAGTTAAACCTACTTAAACTGGCTTAAATATTTTTTAAAGACAGGGCCTCTACGTCAAGAGGAAAACAGTACGTGCACAGCACTGGCCACAGGGGCAGAAATGGGAAATCACAGTCACAGCTCCCGCCCCCGCCCCCACCCGCTCCTTGGGACCAGGAGCTCCGGGTCTGTGTGGGTCTCGCTCGCAGCAGCGTTAGTGAGAAGCTCTCAGATGTTTAAGTCACCGCTCAGTGAACCGGAATCCAGCTCAGCCTGTCCTCCGTGCACTCAGGGTGCCAAGGCCAGCACTCACCCCGGCATTTATGTGGAAGTGGGAACAACAACTCGTTCCCACTTTCCAGTCACCACGTCGCTGGCTGGCTGGCGGCCGGCCGCCCTGCGCAGAGCGGGAGCAGATGTGCAGATACGGCGGCAGCGCGTCTATTCTGGGAAGCGTGGCTCGCCTGAGCGGGGCGCTGCCACTCAGCCAGGCAGCCCCAATCGCTTCATCTACAGCC